CTTCTATATTCCTTCCTTTTAGATATCTAAAGAAGGTTCTAGAGGTCACTGATGCTCTAGAGCTCCAGTGTCATGGTAACGGTAATTGGAAGCCAGTGGAAAGTAAGTCACGCGGTCCCTCTATACTTACATGTACTAATGTACATGTACATGTATTAACATGTATTGTAGGAGTCCGTATAAAATGCATTACATGTACTAGTATGGGCATTCCATTAATACTTATGGCCTGAGGTGGTCAGGCAGTGGTGGGCCACGGTTGTCATGTGATTGTTGTGATTCTTTGATGTGGTTAATTAATTTAATTATTTTAATAAGAGTGAGGGGGCGTTGTAGTGGGCGGGATTTGGAAAGGCGTGACTGGTTTATACTTAATTTGGTAAAATTGATTTTCAAGATAACTGTATGTGCATTTTTATGGTTTCTTGTAATACAAACACTTCAAAGTTGTCACCCACTGACATGAATATACTAACAGTGTCTTCTGCTGATTATTTTTGACATGATTATGGCTTGATTTTATAACATGATTTTAGCATGATTTAATGCATGATCTTAATATGATTTTAACACAATTTTAACATGATTTTAAATTAGTTTTATAACACGATTTTAACATGATTTCTCATGTAGAGATTGATCAGACTCCGCTGTCAGTGATTGACTTAACACTTGATGATGATGATTGATTGATTGATTGTTTATTTATTAATTTATTATTGTTTTCTCGCTCTTTCTCTACCAACTATTATTATTATTATTATTATATATACTGTATATTATTATTATTATTATATTATTTATTTGATTTTTTTTTTCATTTTTTTACAATAATTATAAAAAACATTAAAACAAAATAAAAGTGAATGATAGCCACGCCCACATTTTAAGATGGCGTCCACTAGTGAAGTGACTGATTCTGTTGTACAGTTACCTCAGAATAAAAGAGATTTTGGATCTTTTCAGTCATCAAACGTCCAAGAACTAATAGAACTTTCAGATGTCAGTATAAATTACACTTCAATAAAATTAATGATATTTTTTATTAATTTTTCAAATTAAGGATGACTATGTTTCACCATCCCTCCCTATTGCAACACCTTCATTCGCTGAGAGAGTCAGTTTTGGTAAAAATATGAAAAATGAACATTTCTACCTAGACGTAAGTAATAGCACCTGATTATGATATATGCATTTATTAAAAATTGTAATAAAATGGAGAATTTCCTTTTGATTTGCCAAAGTCTCTGTTCTGTATTTGATGGTTCTTTTCCAAAAAAATGACTCCAAAATTACACCAAATTTTTATTACAATTTTTGATACATATTGATGTCCTTATGCTGTTTAGAAAGTTTGAGCTGATTCCGACTTCAGTTTTTTGAGTTACGGCCATTTTAAGAAAACAGCAAAATTCTGAAAAATACCCAAGGCTATAGCCCATGGTTTTTTTCCAAAAAATGGCTCCGAAATCACCCTCAATTTTTATTCCATTTTCTGATATATATTGATGTCCTTATGATGTGTAGAAAGTTTGAGCTGATTCCGACTTCAATTTTTAAAGTTACGGCCATTTTTTTAAAATGCCAAAAATCTGAAAAGTACCCAAGGCTATAGCCCATGGTTTTTTCCAAAAAATGGCTCCAAAATCACCACTACTTTTTATTACATTTTCTGATACATATTGATGTCCTTATGCCGTGTAGAAAGTTTGAGCTGATTCCGACTTCAGTTTTTTGAGTTACGGCCATTTTAAGAAAACAGCAAAATTCTGAAAAATACCCAAGGCTATAGCCCATGGTTTTTTCAAAAAAATGGCTCTGAAATCACCCTCAATTTTTATTCCATTTTCTGATATATATTGATGTCCTTATGATGTGTAGAAAGTTTGAGCTGATTTCGACTTCAATTTTTAAAGTTACGGCCATTTTTAAAAAATGCCAAAAATCTGAAAAATACCCAAGGCTATAATAGCCCATGGTTTTTTCAAAAAAATGACTCCGAAATCACCCCAAATTTTTATTACATTTTCTGATACATATTGATGTCCTTATGCTGTGTAGAAAGTTTGAGCAGTTTTAAGAAAATGAGCCAGCAACTTCAAAAATTCATACAAAATATAATTTTGATCAGAATCAGTTCAAACTTGCTACACATCATGAGATCATGTTTATGCATCAGTAAATGCATGTATGATGTATCATAGTAAATGCGTGTATTCTTTCTTTCTTGTATCCTTTTTATAGGCTAACTGTACTTATCTTAATCATGGTGCTTTTGGACTCTCTCTTAAAGAAGCTCTTGACATTAAATCAGTAATGAAGTCTCCTTTATCATGTCAATCCTCCCTCTCCTTTAGAAGTGGCTGATACACATTGATACTAACCCACTGTCTTTCATGGACAGAGAGCTGCTTCCATTACTGGTTCATGTTGTTCGGGAATTTGCTAGTTTCATTAGTACGTCACAACCATTATACCATCCAGCTGGTATTATTAGCAGAACTTAGAATTAAAAATGGTGGATTTTATATTGGTTTAGCTCACTTTATGCAGCCACCAATCCATCAATATTAATTCTCTGCTAATATTTCCAGCTGTACTGTATATCTTGAATTCTCCTCCTCCTCTCTCTCTCTCTCCTCCAGACTGTAGTCCTAGAGATGTAGTTCTCATCCCCAATGTGACATATGGTATGAACACTGTACTGAAGAGTCTAATAGATACCGGATACCTGACAGCTGCTAGTAAAATAATATACATGAACTTAACTTATGGTGAGAGATACACTGCTCTATAACATTGTCTACTTAAGTGCAGCTGGTAGTTGGCCCCATGTTGTCTGGGTGGGTTGTACTAACGTTTATTACCATAGCAGCTGGGGCAACCATAGCCTCACATAGTTTTACTGCTATTTAAAGGATGGATTGGTGTTTGTACTGTGTATTTGAAAAATATCATGACTATAAAATTTTTGGAAGGGTTTGACTTTCAGTCATAGCCCTGTGTAACAATTTTAATAACAAAATACAATAACGATGAACATTATTACTTTACTATACCTTATAGCTAAAAATTTTGGTAAATTTTGGTGAAGTGAGAGGTCCATTTACCAAAATTTTAGTCTTGGTTAAAATTTTGCTGAAATCTTTGAAACCTATTTAATGAAGAGTTTTGTAATTAAATTTTCTAGGGTATCATTATTATTATTATTATTATTATTATTATTATTATTGTTATTATTATTATTATTATTATTATTATTGTTATTATTATTATTATTATTATTATTATTATTATTATTGTTATTATTATTATTATTATTATTATTATTATTATTATTGTTATTATTATTATTATTATTATTATTATTATTATTATTATTATTATTATTATTATTATTATTGTTATTATTATTATTATTATTATTATTATTATTATTATTATTATTATTATTATTGTTATTATTATTATTATTATTATTATTATTATTAATAATAGGGAGTACTAAGAAGCTATTGAAGCACATTGCTGGTCTACATGATCTGGTACTTGAAGAGATAAACGTTGAGTTTCCATTAAAAGACATTAACGACGTAAATAATAAATACATTATTAATTAATTATTAATTAATTGATTACACATGTTAATTATTAAAAGGTCGTAAAGCTTGTATCAGAGAAGATTGAGTAAGACGTATTATACGTTAATTAATTAATTTATTATTATTATTATTATTTTGTAGTTCAGTTACTAGATTAGTCATCCTTGACCACATTCCCAGTAACTATGGTGTTGTACTGCCAGTAAAAGTAATGACAGCTGCTCAAATTTGAATAATTTTACTCTCCTCTTTCTACAGGAGATAGTAAAAGTCTGCCACAGAAGGTAATAATGATGTTATTGTTTTAATAGTACGTGAATATTTATTAATTATTATTAATTATTTAATATCCAGTGGTGTGCAGGTGCTGGTTGATGGAGCTCATGCTCTGGGAATGTTAGACATTAACATGAGGTTAGGATAACTCAGTATATTAACATGTACATGTATACGGAGGTTAGGATATGTCAGTATATTAACATGTACATGTATACGGAGGTTAGGATATGTCAGTATATTAACATGTACATGTATATAGAGGTTAGGATATGTCAGTATATTAACATGTACATGTATACGGAGGTTAGGATATGTCAGTATATTACATGTACTTTATACAGACTAGCCTCTATATAATGGACACTGTGTCTCTGTTATACAGAGGTGTCCTTTATGTGGAGGTTATTTTATACAGTAAGGAATGTAATTGGTACACTAGGTGCTGTCAGTTAAATGGAGGTGTACGCTATAGAGAGTGTCCATTAAGAGAGACTATACTGTATACATGTACTTGTTTCTTCTTGTCTAGGGATATTTCTGCTGACTATTACATTGGTAATGCTCATAAGTGGTTCTGCAATCCAAAAGTAATTAATCAATACATGTAGCTATCATTACATGTTTTTATTATTAGGGGTGTGGCTTCTTGTATGTTGACTCCGCCCACCACTCATTGATAAGACCATTAGTGGTATCTCATGGGTTTGGATCAGGTTTTACAGCTGAGTTCCTCTGGTCAGGTAATTAATAATAATAATAAATAATAAATGAACACATTTCTAGGTCTAATGGACTATACTTCTTATCTATCATTATTAACAGGTACAGCTGGTAATGTTGTTGTTTATTTATTTATTTGTTTGTTTGCAGTTATTCAGTTCTGGAGACATTACGATCCACAAAAGATCAGACACTACATCAGGAGTCTGTCAAGAGAGGCAGGTACTATAAGAACTACCCTCCAGTAACTAATGGCTACTACCTCTCTCTGTTAGGTGAATACCTTGTCTCCCAATGGGGTACTGGACTATTATCAAACATTGATCACTTCTGTGGACTGATGCTAGTACAATTACCAGCTGGTGTTTTGAAAAGAGATGACACCATTAGCTATGATGACGCTGAGCTGATTCAAAATGAGTTACACCACAAGTACAAGATTGAAGTAAAGAAAGATACACAATCATCCTTTATCTCCCTTTGAGTTCAACGCCTCTCTCTCTCTCCCTCCCTCTCTCTCTCCTCCCGACAGATTCCAATAAAGGTGATTCAAGGTGTTCTTTATGTTAGGGTGTCAGTTCATGTTTATAACGATATTAACGATATCAAAGAATTAGCAGCTACTGTTAATGAAATAATAACAAATGGAGGAGTGTGTAAACAAAAACAACAACAATAATAATCAATTAATAATTAATTAATAACTAAGAGAATGTTACTAATAATAGCCAAACGTTATTTATTACCTGGTTAATTATAAAAGTGGGAGTGGTCAGTCTAATTCTGATCAAAAGAATTATCAGTCTTCATGATAAGGACATCGTTAATATTAGGGGGCGTGGCTATCAGCTCGTTAATTATATTATCATCATTGTCATCAATGACCACACTCTCAGTTGTCACCTCTTCCTCTCCACCCACACGAGTAACAACCCCCTGTTGAGCAGTGGGTGTGGCCAATAAATTACCGGAACCATCTTCAACAAAAACATGTCGTGGAGGAGGTGTGGTTAACACATCTCCATCTTCTTTATCATAAGACGTTATACCACCAGGTGGGTATGTCAATAAGTCTGCCCCCGTGGCCCCACCCACAATCTCATACTCAATATTACCGGACCCAGTGGTACTGCTTGTATCTAGTATATTAGCCCCACCCCTAACCACGCCCCCATGACCTTCATTAATGGTAGTAGTGTTAGGATCATCATAGACAATGATATTATCATCAGTTACTATCTCCTCAGAAATGACGTCCTCGCTGCTTAACTGGACCACGCCTTCTTCTAGGAGGTAGGTGGGGTCTGTTGCCGGGGGTAAAGGGGCGGGGGCTATTATGTTGCCCGGGGGAACGGCAGGAGAGGGTGACATTAGTGAGGGCTGGGATGTCATCTGCTCAGAAAGTGCGGCTAACTGATGAACCACTGCTTCTTTACCAGTAGCCTGTGAAATAAACACGTAAAATAATAAATAAAATAATAATAAATAATTATGTTACAAATAACAGGAGGCTCTGATCTTACCTGGTTAAGTCCAAAAGCAGAAGCTAATTTCTGTAATGCTTCAGCAATTTCCAGCCCCCCGGGGTCTTCGCTAGCTAAAGACGCTAAAGCAGTAGCTGCTTCTTCTTTAGTGGGCGTGAGAGGAGAGGAATCATGAACTGTAATATCATCATAGACTGGACTCTCCTCCACAATCTCCCCCTCATTCTCTCCTCTTAGTCCAAAGGTTTGGTTCTCTAGTGACACGTTGTATTTCTTCATCCAGTCAATCAGCCAGGATTTGGTAGGTCGGAATGAAGTGGGTGTGGTCAATATCTCGTTTGCTTTCTCTCGTAACATTCGCTCAGTTACAGTATCAGAAGAGTCCCATCGCTCCACTAGCCATGTTAGTAACATTCTGTCAAACTCCGCTTCACTCTCTCCAGCCCCGCCCACTTCCTCTACCGGACTGAGGGGTTGTTCCTCTATTGTCTTCCTCTTCTTCCGTGGGTGGACAGTGTGGTTACTATAAGCACACTGCTGTCCCTCCGGTAGTAGGCGGAGCTTCAAGTGGGTGGAGTCACCTCTAAGAGCCGGTGAGTCTATGGTTTTATCTTTCAAGTTGACGTTGTGTCGTTTCTGCCATTTCATGTACCAACCTAGCGATGCCTTGAAGTCAGGATTAGCACTGATCTCCTTAGCCTTTTGTCTCACTCCTGATGATGACACCTGCTGTCCTTCCTTCCATGATTCTTGCAGCCACTCCACTAGTTTCAAATCAAGAGAGCTGTCACCAACCTTTCTCCCTTGACCTGGTCGACGGTACACTGCATTAGACGCTGTCTCAGCTACAGTACTGATCACATCTAGCTCCTCCTTCCATCTTTGAAGACACCTTCTTGAGACGTTGAGTTCCAGAGAGGCCTGACTAACTGACAGTAGTTCGTTGGAGCGTTGTACTGCGTGGAGTTTAAAAGCAGCTGTATAGGCTCTCTTCCTGTTCCTGAGGGCGTCCAGTTCCGGCTGCTCCTCAAAGTTAATCTTCTTCTTCCAGTTCTTGTACCAGTTGAGAGAGGCTTTGAAGTACTGGTCGTGTTTCTGACCTATCTCGTACGCTTTCTGTCGTATTTGATTTGAATTGAGTATCTTGTTTTTATCAAATTGTGAGAGGACCCACTTGTGTACCTCGTGGTCTATGGTGTCACGAATATCAGATGAGAATTTAACATTTAATGAACTCCCTTCTTCTCCTCCATCAGTCATTAGACCAGCAGTGGTTGGTTTATCATGATCTGCTAGTAGTGTAGCATTATTCAAACAAGAGGGGCTGGTGCTGGTGTCTTCATCTTCTAAAGGAAGGCAAGAACTACTGCTGGAGACTGCCATTGACTAGAGAAAGAGAAGAAGACATGTTTACCAATGTCAGCAGTAGCTAGAAAGTGGCAAGTGCTCATTTATTAGAATAAAAATATAATGGTGGGCATTTAATAGAGAAGAGAGGAGAGAGTAACACACGTGCCCTAGTTTGATTCTGTCTGTATTGGACTTACCTTTTATTTTGAAGCTTTCTAAACATTAAGATTAAAGAAATGACTAGTCTCGGGGTGAGACTATGAAATGACTTCAAATGAGGGGCGAGAGAAAACACTCAGTAATGATCTCTACAATCTTTAAGGGGTCGTGCCCATTTTAAAAATTCCTAAAGATCAAAGTTCCCCGTGTCGCCCCAAGGGGTTATTATGATGCTGATGCTATAAAAGGCCGAAAGGAACTGTAGGAACAAAAAAGCCTAGTCGTTTGCCACTGCTCGGTTCAGTGCATAACGATCAATGTCTGAAACCAGAGATAAAGTCGCAGCACCTACACAGCCGGAGGCTGCAGTGACAACAACGGACGGGTAAATTTTCTAAGTCATAGGTGTCAGTATCTAGTACTGAGCTATCTCATCAGTTACAATGATTTTATTTATATTATAGGATGAATTTAATCCAGAAAATTGCATATTATGCACCAAAACCAAAGGAAATAGTTCCCAATCTTTTGATATCTTTTCAGCAAGCATCAGAAGAGATGGCACAAATTCCAACAGGAGTGGATAAAATTATGAGAATTGCTGAAGAGGCCATAGTGAAGTCAGACAAAGAGATTAGCCTGAGGATACTAGTCACTGGGAAGACAGGTCAAGGAAAGTCCACTCTTATCAATGGTCTACTGGGGGGCTAGAGTAGCAAAAGAAGGAGCTGGTGCTGCCAGATGTACTACTGAAGTTGAAGTGTTCGAGAAAAATATCAAAGGCATACCAGTTGTGGTTTTTGATTCTCCTGGTCTGCAAGATAACACATCAAATGAAGAGGAATATATTAGAAAAATGAAGGAAACTTGCCAAAAGCTTAGTTTGGTCCTCTATTGCACCAAAATGATTAACACACGATTGGGAGATGATGACAAGAAAGCAATGAAGAAACTAACTCAAGCATTTGGTCAGAGCTTCTGGAATCATGCTGTCTTTGTCCTCACGTTTGCTAACATGGAGCGTGTTGACAGAAAGGATGACAGAGATGAGCCATCAGCTGATCCACCCATACATTTTAAGGTTGCGTGGGAGTCATTGATGAAGAGGAGATTTGAAGGCAGGGTACAAATATGGAAGGAAGAGTTGCACAAATTCCTCATTGATGAAGTTAAAGTGGATCCATCAATTGCTAATGGTGTTCCCGTCATACCAACTGGAGATCATGTGGCAACATTTAACAACCCAAACCCACTCCATCTTCCAGATCGGGACAACTGGTTTCAAAAGTTATGGGAGACTTGCAGCTTTCGAGTAAGGGAGTATGGTCTTTTTCTCAAAATTAACTGCTGCCGTATGACTGCTGTGGATGAAGGAGATGACGATGGTGATGCGGACCAACAAGAAATAAGTGCTTGCCAAGGTGATGACCTACCGGGAAAGGAAACAGAAAATCCAACAAGAGAAGCAGGAAAAGCTGTTAGTGTAACGCCACCAGCAAGTTATGACATAAAGCAAGAGGTATATTAACTATAACAGCATCAAAATAATAATTATATATATAGGTGCCAGCAGTACCAGTCCTACCACCTACTGGATCAAAACATGAGGTTAGTAATAATTAATTGATCAGTGAGTTTATTGTTTGATGTTAAACTAGTCACAATCTTCTTGGAAAAGTATTCTAATGATGTATAAATGTCTCATATATAATATGTCATAATTTTTCATAATACATATAGGAGCTGGTAGCCATGACACCTATAGAAATGGAGAAGAAACAAGATTCAAAATGTGAGCCTCAGGTTAGTTAAATAGTATAACACAATTGAATTTGGAATTCAGTTACAGGAAATACCGGGATCCCCAAGTGTCAAAGAGCGTAGAAAAGTAAATTAAAAAGTGCAGCAATTAAATAGATTTATTATACTTTTGCAGATATTTGAAATTCCACAGGAGAAGCAACCATCTCCCAGAGCAACAGTAGGTCTGAGCAAATTTTTTACAAATCAATTACTGTTAATTACAGAAACCAAGATCTACCAGTTTAGTAAGTTATTGGACTCTGTAAAGGGAGAATATTCTTATTTAAAAGTATAATTATATGACCATTTTATTTTAGAGTACTGATAAGCTGTTTTCAATGGAATTGGTATAACAATTATAATGCGTAATGCAATTAATAACTATTGTATAAATTTTAGGAAAGGTCATTATCTGTTGGTGCGTCGCCAGTACACAAACCAAAAGTGATCCCTAAGGTATATATAGTTTATAACAATAATATTGTATTTCCTTGTAGTCTCCAAGTAGCCGTCCTCAACCTCCACCAAAGCCACATCATCTCAAATCACTTCAGGTACATATAATTTATTTTGTAACAGTTCAATTCACATTGTTACAGAGTAACACTCATTCTAAGGAAAGATTACGAGTGGAAAACAAACGATGGTCAGATTCGCCTGCAATAATGTCAACATATGAACTACAAAGTGGGCCAAATGAACACTACTGCCAAGAGGATACTCCAACTAGCCTCCCGTGCCAAGAATCAACAAAAGAAAACATCCAATGTAAAGATTTTTCAAAAAAATATCAAGAAGAAATTATTTCAAGTGAAAGTGTAACACCAAATAAAGAAGATGAAACCGACACACAAATAGATGTTTTCTTATGTGAAGCCCCAAATGAAAATACACCATGTGAAGAAGATACACCAGATGAAAATATCATTCCAAGCAAAAATGAGACAGGAAAAGAAAAATTAGGCATTGAAGATACCAATAATGCTGAAAATAAAATATTAGTGGTAGTTGAAGCTGCTGATGGGTTATTGAACCAACCGATTCACATCAGTTCTGATTTTGTTGCTGAAATGAGCGTTAAAGCAGTTGAGAAAAAGTTTGGTCGTAAAGTTGCTGAAGCTTTTAGAGATGCTCTAAAACATGTGAAGAAACCTGGTCATTGGTTCATCAAACTGATTAAGAAAAAAAAAATAACAAATCAATAAAATCAAACTGAAATTATCATATGCTCTTTCAATTATTTTGGTTAAGCATTTAGAAATAGTTTTGTAGTTAGTTTTGTGATTGCTTTAAAATGAGTTGCTACTATAATACAAAATCACTGAATGTAACTAGAAAATAACTGTGCAATCTCACCATGCACACAAATAGATATAATATATACAACCTGGTCAACAAGAAATATCTAAAATGAATCTATACATTATAATAAATAAAATTATATTATTGGTAATTAAACCTCAATAGCTCTCATATTGTTTTTGCCATGATGTGTATTTATTATTAAGTCCAGTAGCTGATGATGGTTTAGTGTGACTAATAGCAGTTATAACATCAGTAGTAGATATTGGATCTACTTTAATACACTCTAATAACTTAGCATCATTAGAGGAAATATCTAGTGGAGAAAAGGAGGTACTAAAGAGATAATCTATTGTGTAGCAAAATAGTAAACTATGTATTTCTAGTAAATAGTAAATAGTATACCACCCACTAACCTTTATTCATTGATTCCAGACAATCAAACACTTTCCTTAGTGGAGTCATAGCAGCTTCTTTACACACCAACTGAATATCAGACCCTGAATAACCTTCTGTTAACTGTATAGGGGGAGAGGAACAAGAGGGTATACATAATGTCACCCAATGATCAATCATATACTAGTAGTGTGTGTCCATACTTTAGCTACTCTGTCATACTCCACAGTGGAGGTGATTGATATTGGATCAGTAGTGAGGACTGGTGGTAAGTGATGTCTGAACATTGACTCTCGTGCAGTTTCTGTTGGTAATTGAACCAGTATCCTCTTCTCCAGTCTCCTTAACATAGCATAATCAAGATCCCTAGTTTTAATAATAAATAAATAATAATTATTATCAATACCATGGTAGGTTAGAAGCAGCTAATAGAAAGACCAGGTCATTAGAGCGAGCCAGTCCATCCATTTGAATTAATAATTCTGTCTTCATTCTTCGACTACCTTCATGTTCACCTCTATAAACAACAACAATAAACAACAAACAAACAACAACAATACCCACCCAGCTGCTCCACTCCTCTGTCCCATTATTGATTCCAGTTCATCCATGAATATTGTAGACGGGGCATGGAACCTTGCCAACTCAAACAACACCTAGCAATGGAGGGGTTACCGTGGTAATGGTTGCCAGGGGGCACTCACCCTGACAAGTTTCTCAGAGTCACCCCTCCACTTGCTGACTATTGAGGAGGCAGAAATGTTAAAGAATGTTGTGTTACACTCAGTGGCCACTGCTTTAGCTAACATTGTCTTACCAGTACCTGAAGAGGGGGGAGGGAGAGAAAGGGAGGGGGAGAGAGAGGGAGGGGTACAATGTAAGTTTTGTGTACCAATACATTACCAGGAGGTCCGTATAATAGTAATCCTTTCCATGGAGACAGGATACCTTTAAATAACTGAGGATACTAACAACAGCAATAAACAACAATACAACAATAAATAATTAATAAATAAACAACAATAACAGCAATATTATGTTTACCTTGATGGGATATACAACTGCCTCTTTAACTAATCTTTTAGCATCTTCCAGTCCGATGATGTCATCCCATTTCACATTAGGATTATCTGAAAATATATCCTATATAATAAATAAGAGTGACCACACCTACTGCCACACCCACTTACTCTTGATATAACAGCCGCTAAGTCTCTCAGTTCGGAATTATAACCAGCAAACCCAGCGAGAGGTTTTAGTAGTCTGTCCTATTGAAATAAATAAATATAAATAAATAAATAAACAAATAAATAATCAAATTAATAAATACTTGAGGGTTTGTTTCTTCTTCTCTCTTATCCTCTTTCTTTCCTTTAGCCCCGCCCCCTCCCCCCTGAGGAGGAGGTACAGTAGTACACACGTTACCTTCAATCTCCAGTCCCTCCCCAGCGACAGGAGGAGGAGGAGCAGGTGGTACTGATACACTAGGAGCAATGGGGGACCCGGTACTGGTACTGGACTGAAAGTATAGGAATGAGATAATAATAGTAATAATAATAATAGTAAAGATTATATTGTGCTATAACATTAAATAACATAACACTGTATAGCTGAAAAATTTCATTGGCATAAAATTCCGTGGATTGATCAAAATAAAGGTGTCAACCATATAAATTTTTTATTCCTCTGTTTAATTTTTTTTAAACCAAAAAATCCTTGAAATTTAACTCCCACAAAAATTCCCAGCTATAGCGTACTACATAGTAACTTTAGCTTGTAATTGATCCCACCCTAATGTATGTACATGTACTCAATATGTCACTGGTTGTATATACTCACTAATCCATTCTCTATTCTCCTCAGTTTCCTCCTCCTACCTACTGCCCCTCCCACTGGTGCCACGCCCCCTACATTAACGATACCAGTCTCACTCTTACTTGAGGACTGATCAATATCAGTATAGTCCTTAGCAATGGAGGAGGGGAGGAGGGGGAGGGACATGTGATATGGACTAGAGGAAGAAGGAAAAAGATACATGAAAACATCCACAATGTACATGTACATGTATTATCACTAAAATTGAGGATTCTCTCCTTTTCATTTTTGACAAAATTTGGCCAAAGTCCCTGTACTATAGTACAGGGACTTTTGTCCGATTTTGGAGCAAATTAAAAAAATTCGTAAAAAATCCAATTTTGATTGGAATCAGCTCAAACTTTTTATACAACATAAGAACATGTATATGTATCAGGAAATGTAATAAAAATGGAGGATTCTCTCCTTTTCATTTTTGGCAAAATTTGGCCAAAATCCCTGTACTATAGTACAGGGACTTTTGTCCGATTTTGGAGCAAATTAAAAAAATTCGTAAAAAAATCCAATTTTGATTGGAATCAGCTCAAACTTTTTACACAACATAAGAACATGTATATGCATCAGGAAATGTAATAAAATTGAGGAACTCTCTCCTTTTCATTTTTGGTGAAATTTGGCCAAAATCCCTGTACTATAGTACAGGGACTTTTGTCCGATTTTGGAGCAAATTAGAAAATTCGTAAAAAAATCCAATTTTGATTGGAATCAGCTCAAACTTTTTACACAACATAAGAACATGTATATGCATCAGGAAATGTAATAAAATTGAGGAACTCTCTCCTTTTCATTTTTGGCGAAATTTGGCAAAAATCCCTGTACTATAGTACAGGGACTTTTGTCCGATTTTGGAGCAAATTAGAAAATTCGTAAAAAATCCAATTTTGATTGGAATCAGCTCAAACTTTCTACACAACATAAGAACATGTATATGTATCAGGAAATGTAATAAAATTGAGGAATCCTCTCCTTTTCATTTTTGGCGAAATTTGGCAAAAATCCCTGTACTACAGTACAGGGACTTTTGTCCAATTTTGGAGCAAATTAGAAAATTCGTAAAAAATCCAATTTTGATTGGAATCAGCTCAAACTTTTTATACAACATAAGAACATGTATATGCATCAGGAAATGTAATAAAAATGGAGAATTCTCTCCTTGACATTTTTGGTGAAATTTGGCCAAAATCACTGTACTGTAGTACAGGGACTTTTGTCCGATTTTGGAGCAACTTTTAAAATTCGTAAAAAATCCAATTTTGATCGGAATCAGCTCAAACTTTTTACGCAACATAAGAACATGTATATGTATCAGGAAATGTAATAAAAATGGAGATTTCTCTTCTTTTCATTTTTGGCGAAATTTGACCAAAATCCCTGTACTACAATAGTACGGGGACTTTTGTCCGATTTTGGAGCAACTTTTAAAATTTGTAAAAAATCTAATTTTGATCGGAATCAGCTCAAACTTTCTACACAACATAAGAACATGTATATGTATCAGGAAATGTAATAAAAATGGAAAACTCTCTCCTCTAACATACAGTGGATGGTGCTGGTGGTGCAAGTGTCTTGCATTATTAATGGCCGAAACTTTCTCTAATTAATGGATGATAAATTAATTTTCATAATAATTAATTACTAATTAATAAACCTGTTCTAGCTCCACCCACTTTCTTTATCAGTTTCGGCTGTTTCTTAAACTTTACATAATAATAAGACTCATACTCCTACTGGGCATTAATTAGAAACAATCGTCATGGCAACCCATTAATACCTGTAATACAGTATTGAGGTCAATGTTGTCACATACATCATACTTCTTAAGAGCCGGCCCCGCCTCCTTATCTAACGAACGACTGGTGTCTAAAAACCTGAGGAGAAGGGGGAGGAGAGAGAGAGAGAGACAGAGAGAAATATCGTAAGATGTATATCATTAATCATTGGTACCCGTTCTCCTCCAAATGTTGTCTTATTAAAACTAGTAGACACTTTCTTCTCTGCTCAGTTTGAACCTCCTCCTGATAAACAAAATTTAAAAGTTCAATATATCAATATTTCTCACTGGGAAAGGTGACTCACTGATACTCTGGCCTCGTTTGAAGTCTTAAGCTGTAAGTAACTCAATTCTAAAGACATAATGTTCCTTTTCTCACTACAAAACGAATATTCTCTCTCCTCCTGTCCTGCTTTCAAATAGCCGCCATTTTAAATTTTGTATTTGGCGGGAATGTACTGCGCATGCACACAGTATCACCTAATTATAAATTCATTGTCAATTAAAACGTCATCAATTAATTATTATAATAAAAATTAATTATTACAAAACAACAAAAAAGACACAAGATTGCATTGAATGATAGGGAAAGAGAGAGAGAGCGAGTCCAAAAAAGAGAGAAATACATAGATATTAATTAATAAAAATAATTAATAAGACTATGAATTGAAAACCAATGAGACAACAATGAATCATAATGTACGCAGATGAAAACCCCGTCCACAAGAACCAATAGTCATTACATCATTACGCAGTTTTTCTTTTTATTCTTCCCCTTATCACCAGCTGTTATTGAACTTTGAAATCTCTTCATTCGTCTCACTAGCTCGTGAAAGGTTTCATCTATATG